TAACCTCTGTCTTTCAAAACATCATTGTGTGTGTATGTTAACTCCAACAGACTTTCAGACAGAGAGAGCCTGCCCTCTCCTAATGCTTCAGGAGTGGTTTTGGTGCTCCCAGGGGGACATGATTCAGAATGAACTTGAGAGTCTAAGGCAGGAAATGATCTGGACCATACCAATGCCATTTGGCAAAACCAAAAGCCAAGACTGATTAAAGGCCTGCCTAGAACATCTATCATTGGGTGTGCTGAGATTATTGTATTTCAGACTGTGGGCTGTGACTCATTAGTGACCAGCTTGTCCTTAATCCCACCCTTTTGTGTCACCTCCTTCATAAAGTCTTCCCCGACTACTCTTCTTAAGAGTCCCTCCAACACACATGCACACACACCCTTCACTCTGTTTCATTGTGTCTACAGCACACTTACAATTAACTAAAATCTTATTTCTTTATTTCCTCTGTCCCTACCCACCCCACTAAAATATCAGCTCTAAGAGTTCAGGACCTGGCTGTCGTGTTCATTTTTATATCCTCAGTGTCCAGAGCAGTGCCTGCCACCCAGTAGGTGCTCAATATATATTTATGGCATTGAATTATAACTGCCCTAAGTGGCAGGTGCCAGCCCATGGCTGTAGTTCCTGTTGTCCACCCACAAAGCTGGTGTTCTGTCCTGAAGACCTGGTACCGCCCTTTCCCTCAGTCTACACGGACTCAACACAGCCGTGACCCTGGTTCACACATCTGGGCTTGACCTTCTTTTTTCAGGGTCTCTACCTATGCCAGCATCTATTTTGCTATCTGCCACCCTCAGTTTGGCTTCAGGTAAGCTCATTTGTACCAACTCTCCTTTATAAAATATTTTTTCAATCTATTTTAATGTACAGTTTTATGAATTTTAACACACGAGATCCATGTAACCACCACCACAATCAGAAACCATCCCCCCCCTCAAAAAAAAAGCTCCATCATGCTCTGGAGTCACACCTTCCCTCCACTCCTAACCCTTGGCAACCAGCGAGCTGCTCTGTATCACTTTAGTTTTGTTTTTTAGAGTCATCCATATAACCAGGCTCATGGAGCGTATAACTGTTTGGGCCTGTCTGCTTTTATTCAACAATGTTCCCTTGAGATTCATGCAAGTTGTTGCATGGATCAATAGTTTATTTATTTATTATTATTGCTGAGTATCATTTCCTTGTATGGATGTACAACACCACAGTTGTTTAGCTAATCTCCTGTTGAAGGACATTTAGGTCATTTCCGCTTCAGAGTGATTATAAATAACACGTACAAGGATGCTCCTAGCAGCATGATTTGGGGACGCATAGTGCTGGAGGCCATCTGGGTGCCCACTCCCAGCAGAGTGGATGGAGAAAATGTGATAGATGAATACCATGGGCCATGAGACAGTAGAGGTATGTACAGCATTTGCGCACATTAAAAACACATGTATGCAAAATAATAATACAAATTTTGTTGGAACACATACAAACAAAAAGTACACATTAAGCGCTATCGAGAGGGACAGAAACAATTGAGAGGGAGAAGGAGAGAAACAAAATAGAATTTGTTTTAATTTTTTAGAAATAAATAAGAAACAATTAAAAATAATAATAATAAGAGGCTGGAAGACTCTTCCGGGTTGTGGAGAGACTCTTAGCCAACCTGAGGGGGTCTCAGTGGCTGTTAGATTTGTGCTAAAGTACTGTATAATTTGTGCAATACTGTGTTGTTTATTTACTATAATATTTAGTTAGTTAATTTGGCCTCTCATCACTGAAAGAGATCGCAAGAGGTCCAAAACCAGTTCCAGGTGCTCCAGGTATGCTGTTTGCCCAGGCAGGCTTCCAGTCAACATCCTCATTTCATTCATGCCTTGGTGCTGTCTCCCTCTGGCCAGTGCTCCCAGCTTTCACCCTGCTCGAGGTCTCTGAGAGCAGGAGAGGCTCTGATTAGTCACAGGAGCCTGTACTCAATGTGGTACAGCCCTCTTGGAGACAGTTCTCCAATCAGGCTGCTGCACAAGCAACTAAACCTTTTGGTTCCCTGGCCCAGTTGGATTATAGGACAAAGGTTCGGGAATTGAAAGATAAAGCATGACCGTTTTTCTTCCTCTTTTTTTTCACAGGGAACAACTTAATGATGCTTTTCTCAGGAGAGAGGAGGGTTGTGAATCTTTCTGGCACTCCACAATGTCAGTTACTCCTTGACTGTGGTATGAAATACACCCTGAACAAAGGAGGTACATTGCTTGTGAAACTCCAAGGATCAAAGGGATTAAAGCATAGACTGACTAGACTATGTACCCAAATCTGGGCAGGTTGGGGAGTGACTGGCTACACAGCAGGAAGACGGCAAACACTGGAGTCAGTTCATCTCTAAGGAAAATCCGGTCACTGCCACTTTTAAATGCATGCTTTAGCAATGTTACATTACTACCCCCTCACAGGATTGTTGTGTCATATTGCATTCACGTGATTAGCATGGTGATGCATACAAAATAAGCGTTTAACGTATTTTAGTTCCATTCCTTCCCCTCATACTTGACACATATTGAGAAGTGTTCATGAAGCTCACGCAGCCTGTATGCGAGGGATTAAAGGAGCTACGAGCATAAGCTGTTGTTTGCCTCTAACTTGCCCATACCTATTTGAACTAGATTATTTTCCTCAGATACTTTACATTAGAAACAATTGCTTCTGAATGTATTGGCATGTATTAATTTCCTTCCTTTCTCTTCCTTTTTGGAAGAATTATAACTCATAGGTCAAAGCTGGAGACCAGAATATGTGAGTCATTGAGTCAAAACAACGGAGAGTTAGCAGCCAAATCTTCTGTAATCTTCGTGCAGGGAAATTTACTGGCTTCGAGGTTATAGACACGACCTTGATGAGTTTGCAGCAACCACGCCTGTCTGTGTCCCAAGCTGCATTCATTTCCTACCCTGTACTCCAGTCTGCTATTCTAGCACATTGATTGGGTAGAATCCAGCTCTCCTTGACAATTCCTTTCCTTGTTTTCACAGTAATGGGAGCTAAAGCCTGGAAGAAATAAGGGCCCTCGGCCACGCACAAGGCTGCCATCTGTGGGGCGGGGGGCGGGGGGTGCAGTGAAGGCCTGAGGAGTCACAGCAGGGGTCCCGTGAAGCCAACACTTTCGCCAGGTAAACAAGTCAGCAGAAAAATATTTACATACTGAGTATTAGAGAATACTCTCATTCATTCTATTTTATTGGACATTAATTGCACTTAAGATACATGTACCTTAAAAAATGAATGGATGAATACATCGACCAAATTAAAAACAAAGGCTTTCCTATTAAAAAAAGAGAAAAAAATGAAATACTCAAGAAAGAAAACTGATGTGCTGTGTGCTGTGGAGGGTGGGGGCGGGCGCGAATATGCCCTGCATTACTTAGATGAAGCAGAAATATAAGTAAGGCCAGAGTCTTAAAAGTCTCAATCTAGTCAAACTTTCAAAATTAAAAATTAACTCCCATTAATTTTGACACTGGTTGTTGTTCTTTGCCATTCAAATTTAACATCTGTGTTGGTTCTCACAAATCCAAAAATATTAAGGTCAGGAATTTGGTATGAAACTGAATGCTGAAAGCCTATTTAAAAAGAAAGAAATAAAGCAAGAAGCCTAAAATTAGAATAGCCACATAAAATGTTTAAAATGCAACATTTTAATTCAAGCACTTAAAATAGTAGTTCAAATGAATAGAAGATGCATTAGACTATTGTGCTACAACATAAAGTAAAACTTCACAACGAGAATATGGAAGTGATTTTTATTATTTTGGTAATGGTGTTCTCTTATAGGTAATTACTGATACAGAATTTTTAATTTGGTATATCAAACAGTAAAAGCTACAAATGAATTCTATGTCCCTAAAATCTATTTCAGGTACAACTATGCATTATAGTCATGTACATATTAAAAGCATACATGATAAAACACAAAAATAAGAAAAGGTTAAATAAGAAGTTATCCTGGAGTTATGAACATCTAATAAAGTATAAGTTTTTATCATACACAAATTATTATACAGGACCTGGCATAAATAATGCCCTTTTTCATTACATAAAAATGTTTTATTACAAAATCATAAGCATGTAACTCTGTAACATAACAACATCACACTCAAGCACAGCATATGACATTTTAGGTGAAATATTCAAATTGCTGTCTATCTCATGTAAGACATTCACGTACCCTATGGCCCACACTCAATGGCATTACTTCTGCTAGGCCCTATATAATGCTATGCAATCATTAGATCTAATATAGATCCAATATGAAAATATTAAGGCTGTAATAATATTTCACAGGTAAAGGCTAAGTTCTGAGACATGAAGGCTTTCAGATAACCCACAAAACAAACCTGAGACATCTTTTTGTTTTGGAAAAAAGTAATTTTCGTACAAATTCAAAGATTTAATATATAAATGAAGAATTTAATAAATGATATACTTTATTGCAATCACCTGGAATAGATGTTCTGACTAGAATGGTAACCAGCAAATAAATGCATTCTTTCTCTGGCAGAAATAAAATAAGGTTTTCTGATTAAGCCAGTAACATGGTTACTGTAGCCCCCAAATTTGGTTATTTTTATTTGTTTTTGGTTTTGCTTTCCTTCCTTTAACTAGGTTATGAACAAATAAGCCAGCTAACCGCCAAGCGTCCACCTTAATTTTTTCTATATATGCACAGCTTCCTCACTGTTGAAAGTGCCAGATTAACACAGCCCGCATACATAAAAACTACATAAAAACATATTATAGCACATCTGGATCTGATTGAGTTAATGAGGCACCCAGATTGGTACATGATTACGTAAATTGCCATGTATAACATGTGCTTTTTGCCCAATTATTTTAGGGAAAAATAAGGATGTGCATTATCCATGGGTATCATGATTACATACCATGGGTAGAATAGTCCTGTGTATACTGGGCACAAAAATATGAGTGTGCATTATACACAGCAAAATACGGTACTTTGCTGCCACAATAAAGAGGCTAAGGCAGCCCCAAGTCACTGTCTCAGCCTCGCTGGAGGGGTGAGGGGAGGGGGTAATAATATTTTGGAATTGCCAGTGCCAAAGAAAATTTAAATGTATTGGTAAGCCTCATTTCTATAGTTCATGTTAGAGTGCCTTTAAAAATACTGGCACAAACAATTTTTCATATTCAAGAGGTACAGCTATGAGATTTTATAATTATGTGAAATTTTTACTAATAAAATATTTCAAATTACAAACTAGATCTAATATGTTGTGGATTTTTTAAAAGTTAACTTAGGTTTTAATATTGGCACACAAAACATCTTTTCTTTAAATATTCATATTTTAAACTAATTAACTTGGAATGAGTGGGGAAATGTTTAACCATCTTTCTTCATTTTCACTTTTCCACTCTTTTCTTTTACGCCCCCCCCCCCCACACACACACATACACACACACAGCCATGGTAAACTCCTTCCTTGATAATTTTGATAGGATTCCAAAAGCTTAATAAAACAAGCTGTAAGCTTTTAGGACACTGAACAACTTCCTTTGGATGTTTACATGCTATGAAAGTTAAACCTTTAAACTTCACTTTGTACTCTTACAATCGTCCATCACTTTCTTTAAGGTGTTCAGGTTATTTACATAAACTAAACATACACATTTTGTTCAAGCTTTACGTTTTCACAGTTACCAAAACGACGGCCCAGTGGATCGGCCATCTTAAAAAGCTCGATCCATCTGATCGGCTTCAGGGATGCACATGCAGTCCTCGAAACAGCCTCCAAGACCTCCTTCTGATTCTGACTTTCCAAAACACTGACATTAATGCTAGTTTCTTTTTTAACTATTTAAAAGAACAAGTAGTTCTGTTATAATGGAAATTTCCCCTCTGCTCTTCTAAATAAAGAGAACATCCAAGTAATTTGTTACATTGTTCACAATTGATAGGAAACGCAGGTGAAATTTCTCTGCTTTCCAATGGCTAATGGTCAGATTTCCAGTATCTTCAGCTGGACTTCAATAATCAGAATGTCTTTATAGTTAAATTAAAATTTAAGCATGCCAAGAGTTTGGAATTTTAACATATGAACTAGATCAATTATATATTTATAGTTTTAATAAATATATTGTACAGACCCAGTTTTTAGATTTTTCAGTTGTCACTTGAGTTTTGGATGAGAAACAAGACTTTGCTTCAACTTAGTCTCCATGTCAAAAATCGGTAGTTGATTTAACCTAACTCATTTCATGTATTTGAGCCAAAACTATTTCAATTGGTTGTACTTTTCAATTTGCTATGACATTATTAAAGATATACATTATTTAACCTTTTCTTGATAAATAATACTATTTAATAATAAAATAATTAATACATATTGATTACAAATAATTATATATGTATACATATTGAATGCTATTTGGTGATTTTTTAAAACCTATACAAAGTATTAAAATTAGTGCATTGCAATCGCATGATTTCAAAGCTTAGCTGGGCTGGTAAATCTTGTTTTTTTTGGGGGGGGTGTTTCTCATAATTGAAATTCTGTACTTTGGCAACCAATACAGCTTGGAATTTTTACAATTTAACAAGTTACATTTTAAAATTCATGATAAATCACTGAAACCCACTATAATCACTAAACCAACTACTATTGATTTCTTTTTCAGCAAATGACATTATGAGTCATCCAAAAAAAAAGTAAAAGAGAGCACATCAGTAGGCAAAAAGATAAGTCCATCCACAGATACCACTGCCAAACTAAGCTACTGTACTGACAAGATGAGAAGAAAATTTCTGGTCTGAATCTCTTCCTTCTCATCCTCTATCACATCTTACACTGAAATTTTTTGCCTTGGTGTATTTAACAATATATTCTGAAACTTTACTTAATACAGTTTTCTATTGATGTTCAGAATGTCAATCTCAGATCTCACCCACGAAGGCGTGGTATTGGAAGTATTGGAAGTAGTTCTGCATGTGTGCCCATGTGTGTTTTATCTCCAAAGAATGCTCCCTGGAGAAATTATTACCAGCATTCGACATGTGTATAAAAATTCTTTAGGCCTTTTAAATCGTTGACTCAAAAAAAAGTAGGGATTCCCTGAGCTCCTGTACAGCCCAGGGCTGATCTGAGAATACTCTGGTGATTCATGCTCACTTTAGAGGCAGAGAGCAGAGAGAAGCTGGAAAACTTTAGTCCCCATCCCCCAAAACTTGAATACTTCTAAAATTCCAGCTCACGTCTGGCTTCTCACTGGCAGTCTTCCTCGGCTTGTAGCATTTGGACAGCCCTGTCCAGGAGCTCCATGGACTCTCTGAGAGTGACGTTGATTTTAAATGACTTGGGTTTAATGCTCAAGCCATAAGAAAAATCCACTTCTGAGGGCTCGTCTGGATTGGCCTTGAAATTGCACTGGTGAGCCAGGAGGGAAATGAAGAGAAACAGCTGCATCTTGGAAAGCTCTTCCCCGATGCAGCGCCGTTTGCCCAATGAAAAAATCATCACGCTGCTGGTCAGGTCCTTGTTGATGAAGCCGTCCTTGTCCAAGAACCGGTCGGGATCGAAGTCCTCCGGGTTATGCCACTTCACTGGGTCATGATTCACGGACCACTGATTAACAAAAACCACCGTGTCCTTGGGAATGTGGTAGCCCAAAACAGAGGTGTTGGCAGTGGTGGCGTGAGGAATAGTGACGGGCACAAAGCTGGAGAAGCGCATGGTTTCGTAAAGAAAGGCCGTGATGTAGGGGAGTTTGGGCTGGTCCTCTAGGCAGGGCAGACGGTCTCGACCCACGACTTGATCCAATTCTGCCTGCACCCGGGCCAGCACTGCAGGGTACCTGTTTAGTTTTTAATGCAGAGGGAGAAAACGAGGGAGGAAAATTCATTCTTTCATTTAGAAAGGACATTACAGTTTGTTTTAATCCCACTTCTTTATCTGAATCGGTGACTGAATTAACATTTCTGTGCCCTCACCCGCAAAATCTAAAACTGTTCCTTTATTTCTCACTAAGTTACAAGATGGGTAAATTAATAGTTACATTTCCTTTCATAAGCCTCCCATGGCTAATGCTCTCTTTCCTAAGTCAAATACTGTTTAAGTTTTATCAGCCTGAAAAACTATGATGATGGATAAGGCCAACCTCTCCATTAGACAAAGCAGGCACAATGCTTAGGACCCACGATACTTTTCAGAGATCCATGAAAATGCTTTCATTTTTTTTTTTTTAATCAGAAGGAAAAAAATGAACTTTTAGATCAAAGAAAATGTTTTAATTATATTATTCCAATATATTTATTTTTACTAATGCAGTCATACAATATAATTTCATTTTTTTCTTTTTTTATGGAGTAAGGCGTCTACAAAGACAGAAGCAGCGAGGGCCCACGGAAGTTAAAATGCAGCTCTGAAAGCAGGTCCTTTTTTCCCCTCATCTCCCTACTGTTCTCATTTATACAAAGATAATTGGTATGCTGACAGATAATGCAATTTATCTTCTAAATGTGAAAGCAAATTCCCAATGTTCATGAGGTTATGATACAAATTGTAGTACTTATTCACTGTTGGCGATATGAACTAGCACAGCCTTTTGAACAACAAAATCTTATGACCAGGCAAGATTCAAAAGGGTAACCTCTCCTCAGTCTTTTTAAACCTGGTAATCCATGCCTAGCAATGTATTTTCAGGAAATAACAGGTACAAAAATACAACAATGGCTGAAAGTTAAAAAATGTAAGCAACATTAAAACTCAAGCAAGGGCTATATATAATGATATCTTATTATGGCAAAATATTGTGTAACCATCAAAAATTACTAAAGTGGACACGTTAGCAATCTATCAATAAAATGAAATCAAGTTTTTAAAAATTACTAAAATAAATTTTTAAGATGGGGGAAAAGTCCATTACAATAAGTAGAAATGTCAGAAGTAAAAAAAAAATGTAAATAAGTAGGCAACCCTGGAAAAAATTTAAGCACATGTGTGATTGAAATCATGGATGATTTAAAAAATTGCTTTGTTAGCACCGTACTCCAGGGATCCGCAAGCTTTTTCATAAAGGGCCAAACAGTAAATATTTAGGCTTTGGAGAACAAACCCTCTCTGCCCCAGTTATTCAGCTCTGCCTTGTGCTGTGGTGTGAAAGCAGCCGTAGACAAAATGTAAATGTATTTTATTTATTTTGGTAAAACTTACATACTCCTACATAAATGGGTAGTATAATGTGCCACTCCATCATATTGTCTTTTCACCAAAAAGAAGAAAAACGACCTATCGGCTATATTGAATTGAAACTGACCCCCAAATTGTATCATTTCCTTTCTCTGCCCAATCTGTTTCTCATGAAAAAGAAAGTCTGTTTCAAAAGGTAACATGTGTATCTAGGGACAGGAAGGACCTACTTGGGATGTCTTCATTCTGACCCATTACTGACTTCTCTTTATTGGCTTTCTGTCCCTCCCCCATAGGTGTTTCTATGGTAATACTGAGAAGTTATTTTAAATATACAAAAAATTCAATTTTTGACAGTAGCCACACAGTAGTATCTAAGGGTTGCAGTCTTGCCGCGGATTCTAAGAAGTTGTCTTTGTCTTTCAATATCTGAGGTGCCAGCAAATTCATCATTCCCCACTGCTAACTTGTGCGCCAGGAAATGTCACAACCGGGATTTCTGGTCTCTCCAGGCAATCAAGATTTGCCACGAGCAACACATTTGCCCCTGGGGTAGGGCTGCCAGACAAATACAGACCTCCAGTTATATCTGAAGTTAAGATAAACTATGGCTAATGTTTTAATAGAAGGATCTCCTATGTGAAATGTATTTAATTGCTAAATCTGGTAACAGGCGATACCGGGAACTTGTTTGACTCCTTCGTTCAGATCTTCATTAAGGTCCGCGACCTTAATCAGGGTGGGCACTGGAAACCACCTAACCAACCACGCAGGTCCCGGGGGCCAGAGAGGTTCGCGGAGGTCTCCTGGATACCCCGTTTGCCTGTCTGGATGCTGTTCTGCTCTCAATAAAAGTGACTCCCTCTCCGGTTCTTTACCCGTAAGACACTTCCACTCCTAGCGCAGCAGTTTCACAGTATCTAGCACAACACTCTGGTTTCCAGCCGCCTTCCTAAAACCTTCACGCACGTTAACCATCCGCGGGGTCAAGTCTGAGGGCCTCCGAGCTCTTCCTTTGCTCGGGAACAGAGCCCGGACCGTCGCTGGCTTTGGCGCCAGGCTAGGAGGCTTCCAATCTGCGCGGATGACTGGCGGGCCGATTAGGCTGTAGTGTTTATTTAACACATTTACTGCGCTACTCTTTCTTTCGGGACCGTTCCAATTATGCTTCTCCTGTGCCAGGGAAGAAGAGATCTGGACTGATCTGCGGGCACCTAAATAATCTTTTTTCCCCCCGGGGGTTTCTCACAAATTTGTCCCCACTCGAAGAGACAATGACAAGATCAGAGATGCCAAAAGGTCCCGCTCCCGCTGGGTGGGGTGTGCCCGCGGCACGTGTCTCTTTCCTCGCCGTGCCTTTCTGAATTGCGGTTTCGGGAAGCGTCTCATAATTGAAAGGTGGGTTCCTGCAGCGAAACCTCCACACCTCCCTGCGCCCTGCTCGCGACCTCAGCCTGCTGTCGTCCCACTCCACCCTTCATAGGAGGAAAGGAAGGCCCGACCCACGACTCCCGCAGGCTTTACCTGGTGAAAAGGATGAGCAGCCACTGCATCGCGACGGAGAGAGTGTCTTGGCTGGCGCCGAAGATGTCAGTGACAGTAGCTGGCACGTAGTTTATGTCCAGCTGCGCGCCCCTGTCGCCCGACTTCGCGGCCGCCTCCTTTTCTACCGAGAGGATGCAGGCGTCCATCATGTCGCGGGGGTCGGCCCCCGGACGAAAGCTTTCTTGGTGTCTCAGGAACTTGTCGAGGATGAAGTTGCTGAAGTTGCGGTTGAGCTGCTCGAATTTTCGGAAGGTGGTGCGTACCGGGTTAGGGAAGCGCTGCAGCCAGGGCAGCAGGTCTACCAGGCTGCCCGCGCCCACCGTGCGCCCGAACTCCTCGTTGTGGCTGAGCAGCTCGCGGAACTCGGCGTCCTCGTGGCCGTAGCGACAGCCGAAGCACACGGCGCTCATGATGTTGGCCACGGCCACCACGGTCAGCGGCCGCGGGTCCAGGAAGGCGCCTCCTTCACTGCCGCGCACCAGCAGCCCCACCAATTCGCGCACCTCACCTAGCACGAAGCCCTCCAGGATGCGGCGGCTGCGCGGCTGGCGCGAACTGAAGGCGCGCATGGTGCTGTGCGCGGCGCGCCGCTGCGCCTTCCAGCGCTCCGAGTACTGGCTGAAAGCCAGGCTGCGGCCGTTCGACACCACGCGGAAAGAGGCGAAGGGTGGTCGGTCCGCGAAGGCTGCGCCTTGATGTACCAAGGCCTGGCGGATGGCGCGCTCGCCGTTCAGCACTACCACGGGGCAGCTGCCCAGGTGGATTTTGAAGACGTCGCCATAGCGCTTCGCTAGGCGTGCGAATGAGAGGTGCGGCACGGGGCCCACCGCAGCTGCGTTTCCGATCAGCGGCCACGCAAAGGGCCCCGGGGGCGCGGACCCTAGGTGCTGCCGCCGCTGCCTAAGCAACCACTGGGCCACGTGCACGGCGGCGAGCACTGAGAAGAGCAGCAGGAGCGTGGTCTGCTGGGTGGACAGCGTGATCGGCAGCAGAGGATCTTCGAGGCTGAGCCTGCTGGCCATGCTGAAGAGAGAAGGGCGAACGCGCGACACTCAGGTGTGCGGAGAAAGGAGCGGGCACCCCACGCCCCTACCTCCGGCCTCGGGCTACTACCATGCGATGCTGGGTAGGGAGGTCGTGGGTAGGTTAGGTCAGGGGTGCCTTACTGGAGAAGACACTGAAAAAGTCCTTTCCCATCCCAAACCCACTCCCAAAAGGAAAATGGAGGGGGCGTGTTTCCACCTCTCTGTGACTCAGCCTCCCTGTCCCTCCGCAGCCGGGTAACGGTTCCTGCAATTCGGGTACAACACTGCGAGCATCGAGGTGGTTGCGCTCAGTTCCCTCTAAGTGCTTATTGCCCCTGACCCTGCACTCCACCCCACCCCCGATCTGCGAGAACCCAACAGAAGAGGCCAAGGGAAGGCGGCTCCGCGGACAGACTGACCTGCAAAGAGGCGCGGTTTCCAGCGGCGAGGAACAGCTGGCTCCGAGAAGAGACAAGGGAGGTTGTGGAAGGCAAGAGGTCAACCTGAGTGCCTCCAAAAAGTCGGATGCCCGCCCCTGACACCTGCTACCAGTTCTGGGGAGCCTTAGCACTCACTCCGGAGTCTGGAGGCGCTGTCAGATATAGGGGCACTTGGGTTGGGATGGGGATGGAAAAAGGTGACTCCTCTGAGGAGCCACGCTGCACGTGAAACCTCAGCAAAGCCGGGGTTTTCTGACAGCGTGGTGATTTAGTTTGGGGATGGATGAGTGGAGTCAATAGCCAGCTCTCACGCCCCCCGCGCGGCACTGACAGCTGGAATCGCAGAGGCGTGGCCCGTTTGCACGCAGCCACTCCGGAGTCAAAACGCGCCATCCCGTTTTTAAGGTCTGTGTAGAGGGAGGGGGCAGCTGGACCTGGAGGGGCGGGGCGCACCAAGGGGCGGGGTGCGCCGAGACGGTCCGCACGACTTGGGCAGCCGCACGCAGGTGGTCACGCGAGGCGGCTCCCGGGAGCCCAGACGGCCTTGGCGAAGTACCTGATGACTTCACTAGTAGGGGCTGTCTGAACTTCTCGTCTACGTGAAAACCGCTCTTAATCACAGTCAACCCCAATTGTGGACACGCGGTTTCCCTGGAAGCGTGCTCTGAACAGGAGCTGCCCATCCCGCTGCGCTCTCTGCGGGAGCGTGCCCCGAAACTCCATTCCCTCCTGGTGCCTTAAGCTTCGGTCACCACGAGAGAACTCTGCTCGGGATCCTTCGGTGCTCTAGCCGGGAAAAGAAACCTGTCCTTTTGGAAATGAGGAAGGTTCGGTTTGTGTGGGGATATGTCCGACAACCTCCCCAGTTATTTTATCTTAACGTTCTCGTAAACAAATGGCCCTCAAATGAGGTCCTTTTGCGCGCAAAATTCTCCTGGTGCAGCAATATCAAGAATCCCTGAAAGACGCCGCTGCCCTGCCCTGGGCCCCGACTTGTCCTTGGCACACAAAGGCCAGCACTGGCGGGGCGCAGCTGGCCCTGAGATTTCCAGCGCACACACTCCTTCAGGTGGCGCCGCCCACTGGAGGGCGCAGGGCCGCGCTGGCCGCATCTGACGCCCTAAGGGGCTCTGGGCCGGGAGCCAAGCTGCGGCACACACTGGGGGCGGGAGGGTGGGTCGCTCTGATTCCCGGAGGGAGATGGGGAAAGGGGAGGGGAGGCAACTCGCCCCGTGACTGAGAACTTCATCGGGTTGAAAAGTTCCTTTGCTGTCGCCTCCCCCTTGCGTGCGGAGCTGTGCCTTGCGTGCATCGCTTCTGCAGAGTCTGTTACAGTCATATCCCTCGGCGCTTCTCACGGCACCTGACACGCCGGGGCGGCGACGGGGGCGGCGGCTGAGGGCTGGGCGCTGGCGGCCACCACCCTCCGCCGCGCACGCACAGCCGCGCTCGCCAGCCCAGCGAGGGTAGACCTTCAGGCCATCACCCTCAGGTCAGACCTAGGGGCGCACTGGCTGGAGATAGGGACGCTTCTTTCAAAGGGGAAGCCAGAGTCGTCCCGGTCAGCGGTGGCCTCCAGCTGGCTGCACCCATTCCTACTGGCTGATACAAAGTATTTTCAAGAGAAAAGGTCTTGACAGCAAGGCTGGGGAAAGGGCAAGCCCTTGGGAAGCGTGGGATGTGTCTTAGTTAACCAGGTAGAAATTGTACTCTGGCCCTCAGAGTTAATTAACTGTAAATAAAAAAAGTTGTACACTTACTATGTGACAACCCTGTGCTTTGAACTTGAGCTGCTAATATCTGTTTCCCATTAACAGAGGAGGAAACTGGGGTTCAGAGAGGTTATGTGACTTACTCAAGATAGCACAGCTATCAATCAAGGGGTGGAGCCAGGATTTGAACCCACGAAGTCTCATTCCAGGGCCATTATACAAGTTTATGCGGAAGAAAATCCTCAGGCAAAAGGCACAAATGCCTTCTTGCCTGTCTGTTCTCATGTCTATGCCTTTTTAAAATATCAGCTGGAAGACTTTTTTAAATTTTATTTTTTAAGCACAGCTGACATACAATATTATATTAGTTTCAAGTGTAAAACATAGTGATTAGATATTTATGTACCATAGAAAATAATCTGTCTGGAAGAATTTTTTTTTATATTTGTTTTTGCTTGCAAAATTGAGGATTCTGAGGCTCGCACGGAAGAAATATTATGCTTGCTGTTTGCAATTCCATTGGTTTTTCATGAGGGAGGCCTATGTGCTGTGCCCTTGCCAGAGGCTGGAATATGGTTAAATTTTAAAGAAAAATAAAGGGGCATCTGTAAGAGTCTGAATTCTTAAGAGGTTGAAACAGTTGATAATATATCTGACCTGATAAGAAAATGCCGTTTTGTAAAAGTCTCCATTTGGTTTTTTTTTTTTTTTTAGACATTCTCTAGAAATAACTTCACACACCACACTATAGCATACTCACATCCATGATGAAGTTAGTTTTTAAGCAACTGGTTAAATTAGCATTCGTTTCCCATAGCTGTGTTCGCCTACAGATTCTTTGAAATGAATTTCCTAACAACCTTACAACGTGCAGCTTTAGCAAGACCCTTCCCTAATCAGTCGAGACTTCTGCATGCATCCTTCTCTCACTAGGCTTTAACTTGGTGGACAGGAGCTATCTGTGGGCTAATGCCAATTCTGAGCTATCAACATTCCTGAAAGCCTTTATCTCAGTATCTCCTCCAGAATCCGAGTGGATGGAGGATGCCTTTAAAACAAGTAAATTCCTATCTTTAAAAGTATAAAGCAAGGCTGTCCTATGGCCTCTGGTTTAATTCCTGAATAATGTCATATAATTTTTAGATAAACTCAGTGCACACCTTCCTGCCACAGCAAATAGTTCTAGCACATCCTCCAAGCTATGGTGGTGCCTTGAGAGCTTAGCTCTTGCCCTTGGATATGACTTAAAAAGGCAAAGGAACCAGTTGAGCCAATGCCATCAAAAAGATAAGCCCTTATCAATTATAACCAACCAAAATGAGCGGCTAAGGTAACAACTTCTCCAGAATCTGCCGGCCTCAGGTTCTTCCAGGCTTTGTGGTTAGATGTCTGTTGCAGGGTCTATCTAGTACCTGAGGAAGATACAGGGTAAGCCCAAAGCAGTCTGCGGGTACCCCTGACTCAGCTCAGCAAGATGGGTCCTCTCCTTCTCGAGCAAATTCACACCAAGCTCTTTAATTATCATCACAACATCTCAACTAAAGTCAGTGTCTAAGGCCCAGGGATCTCCTTTTGGGCAACAGCACAGAATACGGGAATTTCACCCTCCCAAATCTGAAATTGAAATTGCTGCAAGTAACTTTCGAAAGAACAGGTAGGCTGAAGAGAGTGAAAGGTAGAGGTTTAAAATACTTTGTATTGTATTGATTCCAAAGAACTGACGTTCAACTGAAGCTTGTTTAAGCAGGACAGGCGTGCACTGGCTCATGTGGCGGGAACGATAACCGTGGTACCTCACAGGGCTGCTCTCCCTGACCTCTGTCTGTGTTGGGCTCTGCTTGGGCTTTGTTCTGTGAACTCCACATGGTGCGGAAGCTGGCCATGGCGGTATCAAATGTACCACCTCAAGAAAAAGGGAACACCTTTCTTCCAAAGTCATTATCCTGGCCCCTGGAAGGACTCTGACATGCCAGGTTGCAACAGGCCACGCCTGTGGCCAAGGGACTAGGACAATTACCAGACAAAAATGGATGGGACGGGGTAGAACATATTAGGAAACCAAGGCAGCAGCTCCAGCAATCCACATGTATCCCGCTTCTGTTCATCGTTCTTTTGGGTTGGAGTATAGCCCAAACCTATTATTGTTTTTATTAGTTTAAGTCAGTAAGTGAGATAGATGCATTGCTCCTGGAGTCAGCAGCCAAGAAAGCTTAGCCCTTATGTCATCAGGCTAGAAGTTGTTGTTTTTCCTGGGCTTTCTCTCTAAAATAATCTCTGTGTTGACTTTATGGGTAAACACTGCTCCTCTAACTTCCACCAAACACACATGAGCACGTGCACTGAGAAAACAGTATGGAAGCATAATCTCTGGCAAGTTCTTGACGTGTGAAGGGGACAGGAATCGGTAATCAGACACATGCTGGTAGACAGGAAAAACAGGACTAAGAGGGCCACCAAATGCCCAAGGTGACTGAGAGCATGACAGAGAGGAGCCGAAGCATCCTGTACATCACGTGCGGGGAACTGAGAGGATTCCTAACAGCAAGTACCAAAACCCTGTGCCCCACCTGACTTGCTGCTGCTTTCTTCCTGCTGGCAATAGGCTGAGAACCATAGAGCTAAATGTAGATCTGATCTTATCTAAGAAATCATCATTTGTAAGATACACTATTATTTTATGTACTAATTAATATAAAAGCAGGGGGATGCCAACTATAATTATGTTATTGATGGTAAGGCACATTCTGATTTCAAAGATGCTAAGTTGGTTTTTTTTTTAAGTGTGCTTTAGAATGAAGCACTATGCATGCTAGCAAAGATCCTCTACCTTTGTTTTAAGCAGTGGTGGTCCTGGGGTATCATAGATGGAGCAATCGGGGTCAGGAATGTTACCTCCTAAACCACCTCCCCTTCAATTACTATTATTTGATGGGGATGATATTACGTGATGTTTTTCCCATCCTATGTAAAGTATGGGTAGCAGCTGCTTGGGAAGATTTTGCTAATTTTAGCAACCTAAATAAATCTAAGAAAAACACGGTCACTTGCTAAACCAGTGAAACTTCAGACAAGTTTCTCAGAGCTCCTCCTCTTCCATCTGGATTGCCCCACTAAGCTCTTTCTGTGGAGTATGGTATTTTTGAAAGCCACAGAGCGACACTGTATTAGTCCCACCAAATACTTTCACACGTCTTTAGAGGTAAAAAGGCCTCAACGCCTGCAACTTACTCACAAACATTTCAAGGAAAAAAGACAGAGAGGGAGGAAATGACAGAGAGGAAAATGATAAAGCAAACATGATAAAATGTTCCTAACTGGAGAGTTTAGGGAAAAGATATTCTTGCAACCTGTCTGTAAGTTTGAAATCATATCAAAATTGAAAAGTTACTAAAATTAAAAATAAGAGCATACGAGAAATATTTTCGTAACATTATGATCTCGCATTGTCCTCTCAGCTTTTATTGATAGTCTCTTATAAGAAAGGACTGTGAAAAGAATCTGAAATCGATAGAGCATTTAATGTCCTTCATGTGCTTCATTGTTCTCTGAGTTCAGGGCTAAGAAAAAGTGCGTGCTCAACTGCCATATTTTTCCCCAGCACTATCTGATATGACCTTTAACTCCTTGGCTGCTCTTGTTTTCTGAATGATTTGAATGTATCTACTTCTTTTATTGTAA